ACAAGGGCCAAATTGTGATAGCTAGTTGACTGGGTCAGAGCATCCCCAAAACTGCAGCTCTTGTGGGGTGTTCCCGGTCTGCAGTGGACAGTACCTATCAAAAATGGTCCAAGGAAAGGAAAGCAGTGAACCGGCGACAGGGTCATGGGCGGCCAAGGCTCATTGATGCACTTGGGGAGGCTGGCCCGTGTCGTCCGATCCAACAGAAGAACTACCGTAGCTCAAACTGCTGAAAAAGTGAATGCTGGTTCTGATAGAAAGGTATCAGAACACACAGTGCATCACAGTTTGTTTAATATGGGGCTGCATAACATTATGACCACCAGGGTGCCCAGGTGGTCATAATGTTATGGCTGATTGGTGTACATCCATAGTTTTAGACCCTTTCTGTCTCTCAGTGCTTCCTCCCTGATGAAGAACACAGAAGGGTGTTTATGCCCTCTGAGGAAACTGAAAAAAGTGAACTTGCTCAGGCTGCTTCTGCCGATTTTCTCTGCTGATTTACCACATCCTGACACTTTGCACAACAGCAGGGCACACCAGTATGGTCCTTTTATTCAAACATAGTTCAGCCAATTTGGGTTTTTATGATGTTAGTCAGCTGAAATGACTTCTTCCTAACTTGGTTCTTTAAAGAGTGAGAGAATTGATTTGTTAATCTAAGATTAAGTTGATGAAGATTAAGTGAACAGCGCACTCTTTCTTATAAATAAAGGCAACAAAAGTATGACTGAAAAACTATGATTAGCACCCATATAACTGCACTGATTGGCTTCCTGCTACACTTCTTCTGTCAAAATCTCTCATAATATTAAAATGCTGTAAAACCTGATATTAAATTGTATGACCAATTTTCTGCCACACGGCAAAGGGTCACAGGTTGGATTTGAATGCGGGGCCTTATCATATTATCTCACACTGATGGACTATGTATTGTCCTGTTTTGTGCATTGTTGGTACTGTTCTGTTGTCGTTTTTTGTCTACCTGCCCAGGGACAACAGATGCATTTTAGCTGTTAGCTAACTATGGTGCAATTGGTTTTAATTGTGCACTGTCCCTGCAAAAATAAACCAATGAAATAAATACAAGATATAATAGTAAAGCGCTGGCAGGGAACATATTACTGCACTATGACTACTACACTTGGTCCAGTGTGTAGGATTTAGTGGCATCTAATGGTGAGGTTGCATATTGCAACTGACTGAATATCCCTTCCTTTTACAAAGGAAAACCTACCATGGCTACCGTTTTGTTTATTTATGCACTTTAACGTAAAAAACCCTATCTAGAGTGAGTCTAGAGTCAGTGTTTGGTTTGTCTCTTTGTCATGATGGTTCAACCTGCTCCCTCTGTACATAAAAACAGCTCATATGGTAACGAAAACACAACATTTCATAGTGTCAAATGATTATGACATTTCATAGTGTCAAATGATTATAAAAACATACAACATAAAAACACTTGGCCTTTAAGTAATGGACCTGAATACTTTCACCTCTAGTTACATTAGCACACCCGCAGCTTATCTACACGTTAGGTTTTAAACGTGGGTAATCTGGGTGCGTAACGGAGTCTGGCAGGTTTTCTATGAAAGTAAGTCTATCTCTGTGTTTGAGAGAAGTACCAGTACATTGCAATATCCACAAAAAAAGTTCATGCTATTAAGGGTAGTAAAGTGTGTAGATAAGCTCAGTATATATGCAATATAATGAAAGGCTGTGTGTTGGTGCCTTCTTGTACTCTTCACAGATTTTGTCCTGACTGTGAAAAGCTGGTTAGCAGCTGAGAGTAATGATAAGTCAATTAAAATAGCCCAGAACTCCCAGAGATTTACATCCCTGCAGCAAACATTTCATTTTCTTCTGTTTTTTAGTCGTGGCCAGAGTAAACACTGAACCTCAAATAAGATTATATGATCATCTACCATATCGCACATTTATTGCTATTCCAGAATATGAGTATATCGCCTACCCCTGCTTTGAATGCTGAGCTGTCCGCACCTGTGAAGGCATGTGAGGCCAGCAAAAGGGCTCAAGAACATGACCCAATAAATCCAATATCCTCTTGACCATGGGTTTCATGTCACCTCTGAAAAAGTCAAGTGTCGGCGACCTCCTTGCTGACGTCTTGGCTGAAGAGATGAGAATGATCTAGTTCAGAGCAGGGACGCTGTAAGTAAGTCAGCGTGGGGGTTGCTGAGAGAACCTCTATTTAATAATGCCATACTAAATGCTATGCAACAAAATAATACTTGACCAAACCTCAAAAAAGTAGAGCAATCTCTAGTTACCCAATATACTTCATAATCTAGATCTATATCCACATCCTGTTTTACTGATGGCCTATTTGTGTCTCAGTACAACTGCAGCTGCCTTGTAAACTCTCCCACGTGCCCCGAAGTCTATGGTTAATTCAATTCAGTGTCATACTTTAAACTTCCTAAAACACCTCGATGTATCGATGGGTTATAAATTCCATCCGCCTTGCCATAAATTAAGTTGTTTCTGTGTAACACTATTAACGGCAAAAGAATGTTAAGCCTCTTTCCTACTACAAATACTAATGCACTATGCATGTAAACCCCATTAAGTAAGATAGGAGAAAGTAAAAAAAAATTGCTTCTGTTTTTTATTAGGCCATGTCTGATCTCAGGACTACTTCCGGCGTCCACCGGTTCCCAACCTTTTTCCTTAAGGTACAACCTATGATCACTGTGTAAACTGACAACCCAAAGAGACATATTTTATGTCACTTGTTTTTTATTTATTTATTTAATATTATATTACAAAAACAGTAGAGAACAACCAAAATAGTAAAATGAGAGATTACTTCCTCTGAATATTGATCAGAGATGAGCTTAAGCTGATATTTTGGGGGATTTTTTTATACAGTTCTCTTTTGAGTACCACCACATCATACAGACAATTACAAAACCTCAACATTACCAAAGGTCCAACCCACCTCAGCCACTCCCGCTGCTGCCTGGCAAACACTACAGGAAATTTAGGGCCTGCAAATCTCAGCTAAGCACTGCCTACCACCTAGAACTGTTGTCCAGCCAAACACTACTGTTCAACAACACACCCCACACCTTAACTCTTCTTGTGTCTGACTCTGCTCACGCTAGGACGTTACCTCTAAACAAACTACTCCTAAGCACCGTCCTCTTACACACCAGGCTTCCCAGTATAAGTTACACTTTGACATGCGCCCTGGTAGCAGACCTGTTACACTCTGTAACATGTCCTGTAGTATTTAGTCTTTGTCTACTTGGGTTGTAAATTTCAGGGCTTGGTGGTCCGTGGGGCCAGTGCTTAAAAAGAATAGTGTCTATCCCTGCAGTAGCCTCAGCTATTCTTTGGTAACTATCTAGCAAGTACAGGATTGCTAGATGCAATTATTTTAAAGAATGTAGTACTGTATACCTGATTAGTATACGCTCCCCACTGTAACTTTTACACATCACTATGCTACAACAGTATCCTCTTTGTGTTGTAAACATTCCTCATCCTAAAAGAGCTGAAACTAATCAAACTGATTGGTTGATCGACTATTTTGATAATCCATTAAATGTTTTAGCTATTTAAGAAAACATATTTAAAAAATTGGGATACAGTTTTGGTGTACAATGTAACTATGAGGACCTCAGCATCCACATGTATTTGAGAAAATAGTCCAATTCAAAGTCTATTCAAAGTTCACACTATGCCCTATTTACACCACTGTATAAAGATCAAATATGTGCTACTAATGTGTAAAACTTTATCTTTTGTGCTTAGGCCTTATACATTTTAGAAAACATTACATTTGTTTGTCCAATTGGGCAGCCAAAAAAAGACCTCCCTGTAAATCAGAGACCAGATCATTTTCAATCAAATCTCAGAACATTTTTGTGCTCAAAAACTATTACTTTGACCACAAGACCTTGATACCAGGAAAACATACTTATCTGCAGGCAAGTGCTGCTGATCACAGACTGATATAATCTCTACCAACCCAGTGAGGGTTAGATGGCACCGTGCATTTGATGACGCTCTTCTGAAAAAAGAAAAGTTTCTTATTTTCTGACTCTGAGAATTCAAAGTTTTCTTAAAACAAATACGCCTACCCAGCCAATCAGCCATGAATGGCAACACAAATAAGGATGCCACTAAATGATGACGTCATTTTTCATTTTAACTGTCAAAAGACATTTAGACATTTTCATGATGATTTTTGGGCTTGATGAGTGGGATGACTGCTAAGCCAACTTACATGACAAATTGTAAGATTGTCTAGGCTTCCTAAGTGGCATTCTCATGACTCAGTTAAGATCACCGGGTACCAGCACTTATCATACGTACAATACTGAACAGGAAAGGTAACTGAGTTTTCAGGTTAAAACAAGGATGCAATTCCCACAGTAATGGTAAGACAGGAACAATTTAAACATCAAATAACTGTTCACTACTCAAACTGAGTAACTTAATTTTTAATATAATTATGCTATTGCTATTTTAAAGTAGTGAATGTTATTTCTGAGCCTTTAGCCAAACACTGCTTCAGGATCTTTCTTCCCTGACCAGTCAACACCTTTTTCAACATTTTCAGTAACACCCATCACCTATAGGCTTAAAGATGGCTCTAAAAACTGTGAGAGGGTGCTCCATGGTGGAGGAAGTAAACAAGTTTCACACCTCTAACCTACAGAAGTTGGCAGGGCAGGGCAGTGGACAGCGCAGTCTGTAAATATATTGAATTTTTAACCGTAACCCTTTCATAACTTCACGTTGTCTCGGTGTCCTCGAGTGCCCAGAG